CATTCCTGCATTTGATACCTCATGCTTTGGTTCCTCACTCACACGACCATTCAGATATTCATGACAATGAAGAACCCCATCACTCGCACGATATGTCTGTTGGTTTATGTGTATTATTTGGTATAATCACGTTTCTAGTTATGGAGAAAGCAGTAAGGCTTATAAAAACTGATCATACTCACTTGCATGTGCATAGTGTCACAGAGAATGTATCTAAACAAAAGAAAAATGATGATAATTTGAAGGAAAGTTCAGATGAAACTGATATAACTTCTAAGGATGATCAGAATGAAATTAAAATTGCTGGGTATTTAAACCTGGCTGCAGATTTTTTACATAATTTTACAGATGGCCTTGCTATTGGGGCCAGTTATTTAGCTGGCATTGGCTTTATTACCACTTTGACAATTTTGTTACATGAAGTACCTCATGAAATAGGAGACTTTGCTATTTTAATACAAAGTGGTTACAGTAAGAAACAAGTAAGATATAAGAAAGATAAATAATAGTTTATTGAAATGTATTGCTGAATTGTTAATGTGTTACTTTTATTACAGGCCATGATGCTTCAACTTACTACTGCAATAGGTGCTTTATTAGGAACCTGTGTATCTTTACTTGCGGAGGGCATGGGTAAGAATGAAATATGATATTGTGATCAAATATAGTTCTAATAAATTCATTCATCATTTAATTTGAAATTTTACTTGAACTTACAGGCGATCTTGCAACTATGTGGATTCTTCCATTCACAGCTGGTGGATTTATTTATATTGCAACAGTGTCTGTAATACCAGAACTTTTATCTGATACTAAATTTGGACAGTCTGTAAAAGAAATCATTGCACTTCTCTTAGGTGTATATATGATGGTACTCATAGCAGAATATGAATAGAATCATACAATACTTTTCCTTGTCAATATATTGTGATCACTTACTAAGAATCTATCTTGACTGCTATAACAATATCCCAAAATTAGAAGGCTGTATTGTATTTTTACAAGGCAACAATTGTGTTCGTTGATGGATGATAATAGTGACAATTATAATATGTTGTATGATATGAATACCAGTGAAAACAGTGTTATCTCATACATTTATGTGCAGTTAACTTACAAAACTTAGTGAACTATTAAACAAGTCAGTGAATATAACATTCTATTAAAACTATGCAAATTATAACCTTGTTTTATACTAAACTTTTACAAAGCTCTTACAAAAGCTAATAGTAAAATGTACTGAGTTATGGGAATACATCACCATAAGTAACATGATGGCAGAAAAAATCAATTAGTCTCATCAGAGGTAACATATTCTGTAATAAACTGCTTTACAGTCAACTTATTTACAAAATATTCATAATGAATACAAATGTCGATATGCATATCGTATATCTGTACTGATACAAATCAGTTTCTATTGAATTACTTGTAACATTTTTTGCGAAATTTATTCTAAAAATTTATTTAACCTATGAAGTTATATATTTTTTACATTGCATGTATGTACTTCATTTCGTACAAGTATTTCTTAGGGAAACTGTATATAGCTATTGTAAAATAAGAAAAATGTATGTTTTCTATACATGTAGATGCAGTGAATACATAGTACATATATTCCGTACTATGACAAAAGGTCATGTTCCTTATTTTATTGCATTTGTTACATACTTTACTGTGATCATACCAATTGATATTGTAAAAATTTCTTATTTTGACTTATAGAAAAGTAAAGGTTTATAATAGTACCTGCTACTTTCATTGGGTTACACAATTTGCAACTACCATGTGATGTTATTTCATTCATTTCTTTTAGGCAACACATTCTTTGTGTATTAAGTATATCATGATCATACATATAGTTTAAACATATTCACTATAAAACTTAATATAATCTTTTTACATTTACATTACGACATCAGCTCTTTTATCCTTTCAAGACATTTTTCAGCTTCTTTCAGTGATTCATCGTGATTTTGTGCTTTTGCTAACTGTTTTCCTTGTTTACAATTTTTTTTTGCTTCCTCATATAATCCTTTTATAATATATGCATTCCCCAAATTAACATAAATGGACCCTATGTCAAACATGTCTGGCAATTTTTTTCCTGCAAACATAAGTGATTTTTTTTTTAAGTTCTTCAAAGATTTAGAAAATTATCAACTGTTGTGTTCATATTACCTATTTCTGTAGCTTTAGTTAAATATTTAATAGCTTCATCATATTCTTTCATTGCACAATTTACAGTTCCTAAATCACTCAGCAGCACAACAGTCTGCTCATCTTCTATACCATTCATTTTTACAGATATGTCATATGCTTCAGTTAAATACCTAAGAGCATCAACATATCGTGATTCTGAAAACAGCATACCACCATACCATTCTAAAGCTAAACCCATTAACTGTAGAACATCTGGATTCTCGCTGTCTTTAGCCATATGTTTTTTTAAACTTTCTAAGCAGAACTGATAACCATTTTCAGCTTTTCTACATTAATATACAGAGTATTATGTGATATTGTATAACATATTATACAGAGCTTTAAATATAAATTGCTTACTCTGTTTCTCCCATTTTGCTATACATGTTGGCAATTTTAAGACTCATATGAATGATTGCTAAATCATCTTGGGCCATTCCTTTAGATATCAATCTCTGCATAACCGATACGAACAGTTTTTCTGCTTTCTTAAAGTCATTTAAATTATATGCAAGATTAGCCATTACATCATAAATATATGTTATACCATCATAATGTTGCAAAGTCTGTGCTTGTCTCAAAGCAATATGCAACATTTGCTCTGCTTTTTTAAACTCTCCCTTCTACAAAGGGAAAATAAATACTGCTGAAATTACATTAAAGTAAAATATTTGTTTTCAATTCAATGGTGCAGCTTGATCATATCATTATTCACTGTAACGAAAGTTAAATGATCTATTTACAATAATATTATTTGCTATACTTAACCTGAATTAGTAAAATTGATCGTTTAATCGTCATTTCTAACTCCGATACATCATCTTTCTCCTCTTCAGAACCAAATAGATTAAACAAAAAGCTACTCGAAATAATGATAAGCTTTGTTTGTGTTGATTTTTCTTGTTTATGAAACTGTCGACTATAATTTCTTCTTATTTCATGCATTTTTGGTAAACACATTATAAATGTACTTTTCCTTGAATTGAATTGATAAATATTCGTAATATCTTTTGCAAGTACACGATAGTAAATATTCATAATTATCCTTCGACAGTGCATCGTAATCAATTTTTAATAATGATTCCACAAGAATGATAATATTCATACACCTTTGTTATATAATTTCCCTGCTGCTACATACGAATCGCATAGACCCAATATCTATAATAATGATGTGATGACAATTAAGTATGTCTCTATACTAATTTGTCATAGAAAACATGTACTTACATAGTTCATGTATATTGTATATAGTTCAGGTAGGTATATATATATATAGTGTATAAATCATCGGGCAAATTAACAAGTATATATTCGTATACCAACATATTTAGCTATTTAATATATACATCGTGTAGTCAGATGTTTAACTCCGTATACAGTGTATTTTGTACAACTAGGTGTACACGTATATAGAACTACATAAAAACAGTATGTATGCAATTCTATTCGACATGTACACTAATATTTTCAATTGATTGAGTCACAATTATTTACTTGAGTACTATTACTTGTGCAATGAAAGCAATAGTGTGTGCATAATGATGCATATACAAAGAACGATCAAATTCACATGTTTGCGGTAAATTACCGCACAGGTAAAAGTATACCTACACCGTTCTACGGTCTCGTTAAATACCCCTTACCCCACCCGTCTTTTTCCTATACCAATGCTGCACACCTTGATTTCGTGCATTACGCACCTTTTCACCTCACGGATATGAGATAGGTCATACCACACAGGTAACGAAATCTCAGTCATGCATTCTTTATATGGATAAAATCGTCAATACGATATTCCTGTTATCTCATCTGATTTTGATATCCGCTCATTCGATAATAAAAACTGTATGCAAATATTAATGACCAGTTTGATCTTTTGCGCATATTTCACGTTTCCTATGGACCGACTGTCATTTTTTTTAAATTAAATAATGTAATGAAAATTCATCACATATTACCAGTCGAACAAAAGACTATCCGATGTAATTGTTACCTTCCTGTTATTATTCTCTATATAGAAAGCCATTGTATGCTTTGATGTTTATTTGTACTGTAAATTGTATTTATATACATACATTCATGGACACTCCCTGTTTTTTTTCAAGCTGTTATTTAAAACCATGGATCCAAATATTTGTAGTACCTATTTTGTAAACATGAATGTAATTTAATAAACTATATTTGAAAGAGAAATGTACAATATATTATCAAATTGGTTATCATAACTTTATTTAAGAAAATAGTGTATTTCTCTCATTATAAACCATATTAAAAACTATGAAACAAGTAATATATCATTCTTCATCTGTTTGATGAACCTTTTTCTCAGATATTTAATAATGGTGTCTTATTTCTTTAGTGAAAATGAATTCTAAAGATACAACCGACAATGTAGAAGCAATTAATTCACCTAGTATATCTTCGAGAACAAAGAATTGGGTCCAATTTGAGGATGAAACTCCTGAAAAAGATAATGGCAACATAGAAGAAAAAACTAAAACTACTGCACCAGCTGTAATAAAACCGGAATCAGTTACAGTGAATGTGGAGAAAATTGGGAAAGCCATTGAGAAGACAGATAGTCAACAAACTAAGAATAATGAATACAGAGGTGCTGTGATATCAACTGAATCCGTCCAGATAAATTTAGATAGGTCAGGTTTAAGTCGTTCTATTACGTCTGAAAGTCCAGATCTTAATGTACCGTCCGAAGTAAGAATTTCTAATCCCAAAAGTGCTTCTTTGAAGACTATTGATCTCAGAGATGTATCTAATGGCAGAAGTGCTACAAATAATATTATAAGCACACCCATTGGAAATATTAGACAAGGTTTTGCCAATGGAGATACTATTGTTACTCTTTTACCAGTTAATACTAGATGGCCATGGATCACTCCAGCTAAATTTCGACCAGAATTAGTACCAGAAGAGTTAATGGCTCAAGGTTTGACGGTAAATAGTTGAATTCAATCTGATTTATTGTTGTTGAATTATTGAAAGTCAATATTTTTGTTTGTATTTTAAGTTGTTGTATTATAAGATACTTTTCTCTGGTGTAAAGTTTAAACTTTCTATGTATAATTATATATTTATTACAGCTTACAGTAGAAGACTATGTACACATAATGGAGTTGCTTGTAAATGATGTACGTTTTAATATGTACAATATATGCTATAAGAGAATTCTTGTCCTTTGGATATTTACTGCATTTATTGTACTGCTTGGCTTATTATTTTCTGGAGTGACTGGTCTTACTTTATTTGGTCTCGGCGTCATGTGGTTAGTCCTCAATGCTGCAGCAATATTCTTTTGCATGTTCGTCAAGATAAAGTTAAACCATAATCTTGAGAAATGTATGGCTCAAGTGAACAAGCATTTACTTCGACATAAAATATTGCTTGGATTGGATGATAGAGGGAAGATTTCATGTCATAAAGTCAATCTCTGCTTCATATACTTTGATACTACAGATTGCATCGTAAGTGTTATTACATATATTGTGATGAGCGTTTGGTTTACATTATTACGGCTGAATATGTTTTGTAATAATCCCTTTTATTTATCTTATATTGTCAGCTTGCGAAATTATTATTTGTTGTTGTGAAGATAGGACTTGTATAATATGTATTACATTCTTTTTGTAACAGAAAAAGTTACAAGAAGTAATAGAACGAGAGGAACGTGAAGGAAGAGTTATCGGGGAAGATGGAAATTCTGAAATGCGTCGAAAAAGGGAATTGCAACAACGAATGGATATCGATGATAGTGATATTGTGATACAAGGCAGCACAACCACCAGAATTTCTCGTAAGCAGGTAAGCATTTTTTATGCCAGGTAACTATTGTTCTCATTAAGTTCATGAGATTGTTCTATTTAATGTAACTTACATTTTTTTATAGTATTAAAGATGATTTTTTTTTTCTTTCGTATTTTTTATATAATATAACTTCATCTCTTGTCTTACTTGCAAATTTTTATAATAGTATTTTATTTTGTTTCCTGTAATATAAAATAAAATCTATCAGGGTAAAAGTGAACAAGTATTCTGCCGTTATGTACAACGTTGGGCAAAGGACTATTTACGTCGACGATTGGACTGGACAGTCGATGAAGAAGGTGGAAATCCTTCTTCACCTCGTCATTTAGCATCAGCTTTATGTCCATGTCAATATATAGAAGAATGGCTTCATAATAAGCCACACGTACGGGGCAGAGATTTCTGTCCAAGCTGGAGTAATTTTCTTAAAGATAGAGGCATTTAAATTTGTTTTACATGCATACAAAAGTCTAAAACAGTATTGTGATACAGCGGTTTTGACACATAGCTTATATTTTAGCTTATTAAAGCTATTTTAATACAATGTTTTATATTAACTAAATTGGATGAAAAAATAGAAGTCTTCTAACTAAAAAGCATGTCAAAGTACTTAAATAGCTTCATATTAATCATTTATATATATCATTATTATATGGAAACGAATGAATAATCAAAATTTATTTTAATAGATATAAGTAATACAAAATATTGAAGTCACTTTTTATTACATATTAGCCATTTTTTACTTAACTGTACAAGGTTTTCATATGCGTACATTTTACTGGTGGGTTGGATTAAAAATAGCGAATATACCAGACCTTAATTTTTTTCAATTAACATTACTTATATAACACTGTTGACTAGTGTAATACTAAATAAGTATTTAGTACACAATGTTTAATTTGTAAAGAAATTGTACAAATTGCACACATGTGTATATGTTGCAAGTATATTTTTAGTATTTAATAATATTGCAAATAACATATGCTGTATATAGTATTTGATATTAGGTGGACTAAGAACTGCAAACTTTGTGTCATTTTTGTAAAATGGTGAATGATACATGTATTTAAGAAATTTTATCTTGTAAAATATTTGTAGATACATTATTCAAGCAACTGATTTCTTAACATCACAAATAAGTTTGTTATTGAAGTATAGTGTACAGACTTTCATTTTTTTTTATTACTTTGACTCTAGGTACTGAATGATGATGGTATGTGTTGACAGGAACGGGCGGAGTTGCTGTTGCTGAGGTATGCTTCTCGATGGGCACATCACTTTGTGCGCCGGAGACTTGATCTGGTTATAGACTCACAGGAACGTAACAGAGACATCACGGGTCTTTCTGTTCCACCACGACATTGTGTCTCCGCCCGTTGTCCTTGTCAATTCATTGAGGACCATCTCAAATACAAGCCTAGAGGCAAGTTGATATTTCGTACGTTTTTTCTGATGCCAAACTTTGGTGGTAAATAATTACGAACCAATCACTTAATAAGTACGATATGATCACAATTGAACACACTTTGATCAACTGATTATTATATGTTCCTAATGTCTGTTTTCTATCATGCATGTGTAAGGCCTTTTTTTTTACACATCACATAGAGAAACAAGTAATGTGGATTTCTTAAAAATTATTTTTAGATTTATTTGTATTATTTGTTGTTAATTAGTTACATGCATCCTTAATGCAGAATTTGACTGAAGTCTTTTATTTAAAATATAAAATTTATTCAGTTTGCTCACTGTACTTTACCTTTTACTAATATAAGTAACATTCTCTATTTTACAATATCATAATGGCACATTATATTAAACATAAGAAATAAGAGAAGAATAGATTACATACATTAGTACTTTACGTAAAACAGAGGGAGATGATTAATCATTCCATTATGATTATTATTATCTACGAATTGAATGATATTAGAACATTTAAAAGATATTGAACACATGTCTTTTTAATTATAACAAAATTTGATGGATATTGTGTATACATATGATACATATTGTTGTGCCCCGTAATGTCGTTCACAGGACAAAACGTTGATGTGGGATGTTCTGAGCGATCGAAGGATTAGAATCCACTGTGTACTTTCAATAACTCAACTTTACTTGAATACTTCGAACTGATGAAGATCGAATACAAGGATTGGTTACCACGATGTTGACGGTACTTAATCTTTGTCAAATTCTCCGTATCCCTTCTGAGATTTACGAATTTTATAAACGCGCAGGGCGTGTGATCATGTTATAATATAACAGTTATATCATATAATATGGTAATAGCTTATTGTAGTAATAACGCACGTGTCATCGGTGCGAAGGACAATGTTTGCTCCGCGTTCATGGCTCGGTAACCGGAGTTGCAATGTTCTGCATGACTACCGGGCACAACAATATGTAATAATATATAATCTTCCAATATTATCGTGTATTGGAAAATTATGTATAATTTGGAAGAATTTTAATTCTTTTGGATAAAAAGCAACTACTATATTAATTTAATCTAGACCGACTTATTATTAAAGAAATGTTGGTTATTAAAAGATTAAAAAGATTTTGTAATCACAGCGAATTCTTAAAGATAACAGAAATGTTGTGAATGCCATACTATATTGAACTCACATATCTCTTAATTCCGTCCTAATTCAATATATTGATATATTATGTAAGAATATAATATATTGTATACTTTTATATTCTGTTTGAGAACACTTACTACCTATGAATGAACACAGTTGATAAACAGCTGTCCGACTTTTATATAAAAAGAAAATGTAAAGCACTTTTATATTACTGTTAAAAATGTTATAAATAAAGATAAGTGCATAATACATATGTTTTTTGGTGAAGGGTTAAATGTATTTTTTTTTTATGAATAGCCTTTTCATTAATGTAACAACTTACTACACATGAAAATATATTGTTCAGCTTTGTTATCTAAATATGCCTTATGTGTATATATATATATAAATATATTTTCTAAAACATAGGTATTTGTCACTAACCACTGACTAATTCAAAGATGTTACTTGCATGCAGCTGGACAAAAGGCGATGCAATTTGATATTTTATCTCGACCACATTTTGTCAGCACATGAAAAATGATCATTCAGTAAATAGTATTGTGTAAGTATAGTATAATTTGAATTTCATAAATTCATAAACAAACACGATTCATGTAGGTATATTGTTTTGTTCGTTACATTTATGTGTATATATTTGGTGCAATCTGGTATGATACAGGAATGTTTTTCATAAAGCTTATAATTATTGTAATCGCCTAATCCTTTACATTTCTTAATTGAAATCACTAATTGAAAATGTTTGCATGATTTTTTCAGGATATCCACCTGGCTTTACATGGTGTGCTTATCTTAATGATCCACTAGTTAGGTATGATGTTAGGTCTGACATGGCAGGCATTCCAAGTTATTAATTTTAATTATTTAAGCAATGCACAACAGTATTTCTTAAGGTAGTTTGAAAGAAATAACCATATCAATAACTACTATTCTACATATTAAAGTATAAGCACAATGAAGTTTATATCATAAAAGAAAGTATTTTTGAAATTCCAATATTGTAATAGTGCGTATCTAATGAACTGGTATACTGTCACGATCAAATCATTAACGGAATCTAGATATTTTTCTATATCTCAATATTTTTTACCATTTCAAATGTATAATGCAAAAAGATTTGTGCATTTACATATTCTTGAAAAGAGACTATAGCTAGTAACTCTTTTAATATAAAATTGAAATCAGAGTTTGTATAACAGATTTATACTCAAGGTCTGGGTTAGGTACAAAATATTACTTTAGACTTTCCATTATATATTTTACTGTTCTTGAAGTATGAATAATGCAAAACGAATTTGATTGATCACATTTCATGATGCAATTGTAGTGCCTTTCAATAGATTTTCTATAAGGTCTCCAATAACTGATTTTAATATTATAGACTGAAAATTTTACATTCAAGGATTGCACAATTTGACATTCTGTTATAATTTCCATATTTAGTTACTTATTACAATTACATTTTTATGGAATATATCTGTACACAACACAAAATATTAATTACCATGCAACATTTATTTTTCTACAATGTTGACTACATGTATGTTGTTGTGTTGTAATTGTATGTGCGTTACGATAGTGCGAATATTTTATGTCAGAATTATATGATTGATTTATGTACATTAAGATTCCAAATGTGCCTATAGGTAAAAATATTTTGTATAAATAGTTGGTTAGTTTGTATATATTAATGATTAAAGTGGATTTCAATTTGGAATGGACGCATTACATTAAATCTTTTCTTATAGAAAACAATGTTCTAGTGATTAATGTAATTTATAAATACAAATTGATTCATGTAATTAATGCAGCCTGTGCCTGTTTCTTAATATCATCTGCCAGTCTTTTAATTTCCTCATTGTCTGTTTTCAGTTGCTGCTCTTTCTTTTCCAGAGTAGTTTCCAAATGTTTTAATTGTTCCTTTATATTTAAATACATTTTAACATTATAATATGTGTCAGATGTACTTGAACTTATTGTGTTTTCTCCAGAAACATCATCTAGAAACAAATTTTTAGTCATTTATTAAGGAGTTCTAACGAAGTAATAACATTGAAGTAGACAGAATCAGTACATTTGAACAGTATTAAATTTGTAATAAGGTTAACATTTAAGTTTAATATTTATTTTAATTTTTTTATTGATTATATAATAAAATATTGAAACCTTTAATTATTATTTTAAATGCTATGTCATCCACAGCAGCACTGTTGAGATCCTCTAATATATGCTCTGGATTAGGAATATTAGGTCTCGGTGGCAAATTAGTTTTCTTATTACTAAACATATCTTGCTTGACAATTTTCTTTAATTTGATGTATATTTTATTTCAAGTAGTTATATATGTATGCATGTAAATTTATTGATATTCATACAAATCGTGAAGTAACAAAATATAATGTGTACGTAGAGTGTAGGACACTGTCACCTGTCACATGAACTATACATTTAAGCATTATATGTATGTATTTATATATAGTGTTCCGAATACGAACGAGTGTTATACAAAATTGTTTCTATATATATAGTTTAAGAAATCTTCCTTAGATGAACAAATTTGTTCCGTATAATCATTCACCGTGCATGAATAGCCTATATTTCTCTCATTGGATTATATACATACGTCATTACGTGTAAATGATAAAGCCGCTGCCGGATTTGACGCAAGTTGACGTTCTATCGTGACTACTAGTTTGAATGGTGTAAACTGGCTTTAATGTGTATCCTGCTGATCCTGCCCGAAGAAAATGTTTTTTCATTCTATTCACAAATTATCAAATTTTATGTTAAATGCAAATTGTAATTTCCCACTGATAAATTTGGTAACCTTCGATCAGTGTATTTGTTTCGATTAAAAACAAAATAAAATTTATGATCAGATTTAATTTTAGATGAAATTTTAGATTATCTTTATCAATAATCTAACCAATTAGAGTTTTTCGCGTGCAGTAGGTATTTAATAGCGACGCGCAGTTTTCAAATTCCGTTGAAGATCGTGCCAGCGATGAATTATTCTTCATTGAATGCATCTGTGAATTTTTGAAATTCATAGTTGACATAGCTGTCTTTACCGTTTATTAGATAATAGAATAAAGAAATCGTAAAATAAATCGTGTTCACGGTGTTATTACGGTATATATATTAAACTAATAATCATTTTTCTTAGCGTCTGTTTACGTATATAAAAGTAGCCGGTATGCCGCCAAAACGAGGTAGATCTACAAAGGTTAGTCGTTTATGTAGCTATTTTTATTAATTCTTTTATTATTTTCTACTATAACAATACAAAATTAACGTAGTTTTAACGGTTTAATTGAAATATAAAATAGCTACGCTTCAATTGATACACAGCGTACAGTCTAACACTCTCATCATTGAATAGTGCAAATTAAGAATATTTGCTTCCACTTTATTTAAATCTAGACAGACTCTGCAGAAGCTAAAAAAGAGAAAAAGGAGAAAGCATCTAAGTCGCAAGAGACAAATGCTAAAAGGTCTAAACGCAGTGGGAATGACATTGAAGAGCCTGCTGCAAAACGTGTTAAGTCAGAGCCGAAGCAAATGATGAATAAAACCGATTCAAATATGGATGAAATTAACTTTGATTGTCAGAAATTAAATGCAGAAGGAAAAAAGTATAATCTGAAAATTTCTAGTTGGAATGTTTCTGGAATTAGAGCAGTTATTAAAGTATGATTATGGTTTTATTTTGTTTCTTGACTTTCTAAGTCTCTTTTCATAAAATTCTATTATTACTTTCATTCAGAAAAATGGAATTAAATACATTGAAAAGGAAGATGCAGATATAGTTGCATTGCAAGAAACTAAATGTGATAAGGATAAGTTACCAGATGAAGTTAAATTAAAAGGATATCATCATTATTTCCTTGAGAGTAAGAACTTTTAAAATGTATTATATTTAAACTTAAATTCATAAAGATTTAGATAATTCATGGCGATGTAAATAGGTAAAAAACCTGGGTATTGCGGGGTTGCCTTGTATTCTAAAGAGAAACCAGTTGATGTAAAATATGGCTTAAGTGATCCTGAATTTGATGATGAAGGCAGATTAATTATTGCGGAATACCAAAAATTTTTCTTTATTAATGTTTGTAAGTTGTATAATACTGATAACTTTTATAGATCTTTTCTGTTGGTGTTAATAATATTCAGTGATTTGTTAATGTATTAGATGTTCCTAATGCTGGTCAGAAGTTAGTAACATTACCAAAGAGATTACAATGGAATAAGGTTTTTAAGGCTTATATTAAGAAACTGGATGAAAAAAAGCCAGTGATCATTTGTGGTGATATGAATGTAGCCCATCAAGAAATAGGTAACATTTCTCAACAGTATTATTCAAAACCTGTTTTGTTGTAAACTTCTTTTTGTAAGCATTTTATGGGACTTCTTGTATATCTTTATATTGTTACCTGCACAGATCTTAAAAACCCTAAAACAAATACAAAAAATGCTGGATTCACTAAAGAAGAACGAGAAGGTATGACAGATTTCTTAGCTGTAGGATTTGTGGATACATTTAGAGCTTTGTATCCTGATAAAACGGATGCTTATACATTTTGGTCATATTTTGCTAATGCCCGTAGTAAAAACATAGGATGGTAAGTGTACAAGAATTTGTATGTTACAAAATTAAAAACTGTAATTATAGATGATTAATATCCTCACTCTCTTTTTCTATAGGCGACTGGATTATTTTCTGGTATCAGAACGAATGAAAGATAAAGTTTGTGATAATGTTATGAGGGACAAGGTATATGGCAGTGACCATTGTCCTATTATCCTTTACATTAATATTTAAGAAGGAATTACATCTTTTTTATACTTAAATGATGTGTCACTATGGATGATCCATGCATGCTGTGCATACATATACTTTGTCTTCTGAAAATAAACTTGTATTTAGAAGAAACTATTAAATCTTTTTTACTGTACTAATTGATGAAATATAAGAAAATAGTTTTTTATATTAGACCTTATTATTCTCCTTATTTGAGCTAGAGAATAAGATAAGCATCGTTATGATATTTATTTTGTTGACACTTTTTCAAGTTCAAAATTTAACCTTAATCAGTGCATGGTATAGCTTGTTATGATACCTTCACCACTTTCACTCAATTGTGTTAGCCATCTTTGTAGGCAAACTTGTATAAAATAAACCTTTAAAGTCAGTTTTTTTAAACTTTCTCAAAGAATAATTTTAATAGATTTCGATGTTTTAAAAAATAACGCGACTATTAATAAAATGCAGAATGTTACCGACATAATTAAGTTATTATGTGTAATATTTGAAAAACAAGTTGTGTGGACTGTAAACACAAGGGAAGCGGCAAATTCAATTATAATTAAACATGACAACAGTGAAAAGTAAAGCTATTAACTTACCAAAATATGAAAGTTTGTTTTACTTTTTTTCTTGGACTGGTGCTGTATTTTATTCTATTTATAAAGTATCTTTACTTGACACTTGTAAGAATCAGAATCTTTCACACAGTTTAATATAATATAAATTTTTCATTGTTTAATATCATACATCATTTTAGACTTTAATGATTATCATGATTTGTATGATGATTTCTCATCAGGATGGATCTGGATAGGAAGGAAGCAAGATATATCTGATCAGGAATGGAAGATATGGATACCATTAATAATTAACTTCATACCATGGATATTTCTTAATCATTTTATCAGTCATATTATTAAACTTTTATTAAACCCCATGGTGTGATATTCAAATATTCTTATATGTACTAAATTGTTTTTTCTTTACCCTATAATTAACAATATTCTTACAGCTGTTATGCTACTGGTATATCTTCGTATCTGTTACATCTTTGTATTTTTCTATTGGGATATTAGGCACATTATGTGCACTGATTCAACCAAGTATAGTGTACATTTTAACGTACAAACGCAAAAACTATATCATATGGTTGATAAATACATTATTTTTATTTGTAATACATTTTCTTAAAATTCCTGATGGTATTTTTCAAAGAATGTTAAAACTGAATGACGAAGAACATTATCTTTTAACTCTTACAATGTGTTGGATTCAATTAAGAAGCATTAGTTGTAGTATAGACAACAGAAAAATGTGTTTAGAAAATAATTGTGATGACATATCATATTTATCAAGGAATTTTTTGTGGGGATTAGCATATTGTTTATATTTACCAACATTATACTTAGGACCGTTGATTTTATATCATGAATTCATAGATTCTGTATGTATAAATTACCTTTATATTATACAGTTTTGTAAATTTATGAAAAATAAATAATATATAAATTTTTACAGATAAGAAGACCATTTCAGACTTGGGCATTATCAGAACTGGGATGCTTTGCTTTAAATTTAATCAGATACATGTTTTGGGTATTATTTACCAATTTTGTTTTACATTTTCTTTATTTTAATGCATTGCATTATCATCCCAAGGTACACTTTCTCTGTTTCATTTCTATACTATAATTAGATTATAATTAAATATAAAGATAATTAATATTATCTTCTTCTTGTTACTCAAGGTTTTTGAAGTTTTAAATCCATGGGCTTTATATGGATTGGGATATTGCATGGGTCAATTTTTCTTAATTAAATATGTAGTGGTATATGGACTAAATCATACTTTATGCGCAATAGATAACATTCAAGCTCCTTCCCAGCCAAAATGTGTAGCACGAATCTATTTGTATTCTGATATGTGGAAGTATTTCGACAAGGGTTTATATAAATTTCTTGTAAGGTACAGTATACGATAAAGAGTGTCCATTATCTCGATTCAAATAATTAAACAGTTATAAGAGAAAAAATATATCAATGTTGTTTCAGATACATATATATACCATTGTTAAAATCAAATTTCAATAAAGTGCTTGCCTCCTTCCTGTGTTTCACATTTGTTTTTGTATGGCATGGAATGCAAATAAATATCTTTATTTGGGCATTCCTTAATTTTATAGGACTAAACATTGAAAGCTTAATGAAGTTAGTTGGAAAAAGTAAATATTGTTCTAACATTCAAAGAAAGCATATGTCACCAAGGAATGTCAGAAGAGTCCATTGTGCATTAGCAAGCCCTTTGCTAGCAATGTCAGTAATATCCAATTTTTATTTTTTTGCTGGTGAAGAAATTGGACATATTTATGTTTATAGGATATTACATGGTATTATTATTTTCTATAACTATCTCAAACTAAGAGATCGAAATTAGTGAATAAATATTGTTACACTTTTTATTACAGATATGTGGTACTCTACTTTCGTTTTACTATTGTTTCTATATTGTTGCTGCCAAGTTTCTACAGACTTAAAAAATTGGAATTCATAAAAATCTTGACTCGTTGTGAGACAGCAAAATTCATAAAAACAGGCGGGTACATGTTTCATTTATGATTATAATGTCTAATAATTTAAAAATATTTTATTAAGTACAAAGTGGGTATAAAAATACAATATATGTAACTAAAATTATTGTTCACATTAATATCATTACATTTACGTAATGTTTATTACAAATCATAATAAAAAAATTTAGTACAAAGTATATATGTGAATATTTCTCATATAATTAGTTATTTATATAGCAACCAGCTTTACAATGCACCTAAGGCACGTTATAGTTTACAATAAACAAATGCTTGTCAAAATAACTTCTTAATTATTATTCTTAAGTTTCGTAGAGTACACATAAAATTGGTTTGTTTAAATGTTATCATATAGATATAAGAATATAGTAAATGTTTACATTTTGTTCATATGAGTATTAAAATTTTTAATAACATAAATCGTGTATTGCTAAGTATTCTAGATTCTAACTAGATATTATTATATTATTGATTTATATCAGGTTTATAACAAAATTTTTAATCTAAACTCGCTAATGTATTTGACAATGTTTAATATATTTTTGTAGCAATTTACTCATAACAACATATTGATATTTGAATTATATTTTTTTTGCAATATTTTAATTACGCTTTATAGTTTTTAAAAGTTATGTTACATAAATTTTAGTGTATAGGCTTTAGTATAAACAACCGTTATGTCATTATAAATTTGAAAATACACTTTAGGAATGTTGACTTTAATTCAGTTTTATACTACTGTATAATAAGCAATTACATGTAATAAGGACATATTTTTGACAATTATTTACAGTAGGCATGTATTTCAACAAAAGATATAGTTTACTTTACTTCTTTAAGAACTACCTGAGTATTTACACTAAATCATGAGTTTATAACATATTTTAATGATACTTCACAATGTGTAAATAAATCTTCTTTACTTTATTTTTAAATTACAATCCAAGTATTAGTCTAATCTATACTTTCCATATAAAAAGAATATAGTTTGACATATACATAAATATTGTTTTGTTTTTCTTTATAATTACTGTGTTTAATATATCAAATTTCTTCTTTAAAATCTTTAGAATTACCTTTATAAAGCCACAATTAAGCGACGTATCACGTCTAACTCTTTATTTCTTAACTTTTAACCCTCCAAATATAAGTAGTGAAAAAGCAAACTTCTCGAATTAGAAAACGAGGCACTATTTAATATTATGTAAAAAGTTTTCAGACTTTGTATTGAAATAAATTTTACAGACTATTGTTAGTACATTGTAACAAAATATTAACCTATTTGATTAATCTTACTAAAATATATGTATTGTAGAACATTAGTGATTATTACTTACAAACTATTTGTATTTGTCCCTATTGTTGTAGTAAAGCTAATTATCATATTTCGGCTTTTGCATAATATTGAAGATATAATTTGAAATAAAACTATAAATTTTTATGGAAGACATTTCGTAATTATCCTGAAAAGAATAATATATAATAAACTTTGCTTAACAATTTTATGATGGCTGTCTGTATCTTTAGAAGCTGCAAAACACATTGCAGTAAAAGATTAATAAAATAGAAGGTAAATATTATTGAATCTTGCAGATATTTTGAAACTTTGTGTGAGTATAAATGTATCTAAAAATCTACAAAATAAAGATTATTCGTACGAAATATTACTTTTTTGTTGAACAAATTATGAATTTGTACCATGTTCTTCAACATTTGGCACAGATAAATGTTATTAGTATTAAGTAACTATGTTATATTAATTTATTTAAGTAAACTCAATCCATAATAATATTATCTACTCACATTGTTAATAGACAATTTTTTTATAGAAAAGTGTTTGCATTAGCATTTGGAATGGCTATAGAAAGAAAGAGATATATAATGGAGAAATAGTTTTATTTCACAGGAAAGAAAATAAATGCATTTTTGTTTTCTTTTCAACCTTATTATATATCAAAGCTATGCTAATACTGTGCATTTTAGAAGATCGAAATCATGGAAAAATATTTTATTGAATTTATGTTTATAGAATTTTCTATCTATACGCTCAATATTTTTTTACGCGGTAAAAAGTATTAAATATATATTCTTTTTCTAACAATATTTACACATCCAAATCTCAAAGTATTGCTTCGGTAATTTACATGTTACAACTATACTTCCATACAAATGTTTACACCAACTTTAAAAGTTTATTGCTTTCTTGTGAAATACCTTCGGGTTACTAAAAAAATAAATTTAAAAACACTTTCTTGTTTAAATTTTACTTACTTTTCTCAAATATTTACGCCATAACTACCGGCAGTGCTGTTGTGTTCAATCCTAAGAACGCTATTCTGTAAAGTATTATTAGTCAGTAATAAAATTGTATTTTCATTTACATGCTGTTTTATATTGACTGTTTGCGCCTGTTTATTCAATAATGTAAACTTCCGATTTTTATTGAGCTGTGTTTGCGTTTTAGCTTGCTGATCGTGACAAGTTTCAAACTGTGGAACTATGCTGATGCATTTATTTTGTACTATTATACTCGTCAACGGTTCGTTATTAATACATATACGCTGTTTCGCTTGATGCAATAGTTTTTGATTCTTTCCAAAAACGTTATTCAATGGTGCAATCACTCGACTCGTTATTAAATCTGTTACAACAGTCTGATGGTTACCTACTGTGTTATCTTCTCTCCATGTGCATTCGTCATTTTGATTTAACAGAATATCCTTACTCGTTTTAGTAGCAATTTGATTATCTGGTTGTAAAGTATATGTATTTAACAAATTTTTCGTCATAACGATCTCCCGTTTTTCTCGATAAGATTTCTCATGAATGCTGACATTATTATCTTCTTCCAGATCTTCTCGAGTAAGAATGACGTGTCTATTACTGTGATCATTAACAGTTTCACTTAATACATTATCAGAAAATTCTTCTTCATTGTGCTTCACTACTTGAATGTGATCTTTAAACTGATTGTCTGTAAGTTCAAAATTTTCTTGAAATCCTGTATTATTTCCGGTTTTACTGTTAATCAAAGTCTTGTACTCTATTTTAATGTATGATGATGGCTCGTCAACATTTTGATAAATTAATTCAGATTTCTCTTCTTGAATTACCGCTACCTTATTATAAGAAACACTTTGTAACTGTGATAAGCTCTCTTGCACTTTATCTGTGTATTCCATTGACAAACTATTCTCATTTGTAATACAAGCTCTATCATGATTACGTATTTCAGTCTCTATAGAATCAGTCTTATTTAATTGAGATTCTTGGCAAACCTCACAAGTTTCAAAGCAATTCTTGATAATCTGTATTGTGTTTTTACTGTAATTTTTTTCATCGTCAACAGTATCTTTGTTTATAATGTATCCTTCAGTCGTAGCATCTGGAACCTGGCCATTATCATTATCATAATGCATTATTGTTTTCGTTGCAATTACACCCTCATCTACAGGTTCTTTAGTCACATCAATCTTTTTTTTTCTATTAGTTCGTACTTTTTGAAAATCTTCTTCAGAAAGATACAACAGTTCCCCAGTAGTTGTTAAAACTTTTCCATGCCTTGTTTTCAGATGGCGTTTGTAAGTATTTCTAGTCTTAAACCTGTTTAGCACAAGAATGATTTTGATAATATAACATCGTTGTATTTATATTTTAAGGTGAATCAAAAACAACAGAACATCAAAACGTGTCAGACGAATTTCGTGATACTGAAGAGTGCATCATGTAAACATAGACATAGAAATGTAGACTGCGCGTCAGGCTGGTCCGGCGTCCCAACTGTAGAAAGAAACGGGTTACTTTCGGAGGATTTGCTATCTCTTTCTAACATAGCTCAGTCGACCACTCAAAATCCAGACCCCCAAAACGCCACCCCCACTACTTAGATTTACAAAGAGATGCCAGTCTTCCGAAAGGTATATACCTCTTTCTAAACTTGGGACGCCCGTTTCAGGAAAATGTGCAGTCTATGTTTCTATGTCTATGCATGTAAACATTATTGTTAAGGCTTCCGTTTATAAACCATCTCTTAGAAGAACCATTTTGTCAACACCCAAAGCTTTAACAATAACAATCTATCAATATGACAATGGGTTTCAAAGCCTGAAAATCTCTAATTAATATTTTTGTTTACCCTACCTTTGCCCACAGTCGTCACATCCAAATGGTGATTCTCCAGTATGTCGGCGTCGATGTTCTCTGAAATGTGACGGATGCCTGAACTTCTTCCCGCAATCGGCACACGTAAATCGCGTTTGATTTTGATGAATCAGCATATGATATTTTAAACTGTGTCTTCTTGTGAATACCGCTCTACATATACGACATTCGTATGGTTTTATCCCAGCATGGCTACGGTAATGAGACACCAATGTTGTAGGTGCTGTGAAACTTCTTGGCGGATTACAAATTCGACATTCAAGATTACTCCCTGTTGGGTTTCCCTTTTTTTTTATACGATCCATAAAAGCTAGCGCCATCTCTCTTTCCTCTTTACTAGTACCTATAAATTTTGCTTTTCCTTTAGGTTTAGTAGCTGCAATTTCTATATTTTTATTACAGTTTTCAGTTGACCATGGTATTTCTGAAAAAAAAAAAAAATAAAAATAAATTAAAATAATCAGAACTTGCTGTACAAAACTACCAATCAATTATCATGCTCACCAGGTACATAAACAGTTTCAGACTCTTGTTTGATTTTTTCTGATAGTTTTTGATTAATGTGAGAATACTCTTTCATATGAACAGTATCAGTGCCAACAACCATAAGTACAATCTATATGGAAAAGTTAATTTTAGTATTTACAAATTATGCACTTCAATACAATTTATGCTTACATTTTCATCCATTCCTGCATTCTCCAAGGCATTGCTAAGAGACGTTTCCTTGCTATTAGGATTCTCATCCTTTAAGCGTTCATAATAACTATGATCGCCAAGAACTTTGAAATCCATTTTATCTACATCCTTCTGTTCAAGATTGTGTAATTTTTTAGGCTTATCCATTTTTTCAAAGCTTTTATTCTTATCTACTTCTTTAAAGTTAGAATCATTTAATAGAATGTTTCGAAGATAATTTGTTGACTCTTCCATCATGACATTATTATTTTCTTTATTCAATGTCTCCTGTGGCTTTCTTGATAGCTGCAATCTATTTTTTTTATTTTGTGAACTCGTTTTATGATTTTTATAATTCACTGACTTTGCGGTGAAGGTTGTATCTATAAAGCATAAATAAAGGCATACAGTTTTTAAGTTATCATTAACATACTATCATTTGTTTTCATTATTTATTTAAGGACTACTATTTTTACTCACAGGTTTCTTTGTTGGTTTTTAAATATTCCAAATGTTCTGCTAGATGCTCTTTAATAGAAATTCTTGCTCTTCCTTCGCTCGCAAAACTTGTATACTTTTGGCCGCACCCAACAATCAAAGCACAAGTATAAGAATATTGCCTTTTCAATTCGTCGCTTGTAAAAATAGAGAACTGTTTGACTAATTGAGATGAAGACATAGATAAAAGCTGCGGCACTGTGAAACATATTTCTTGTGGTTTCCTTTTTGTATGATCTGGTTTTGATTTGCATTGTGTTGTCAGTAGTGATTTACTACGCTTTTTCTCAGAATGTAATGTCTGAGATGCAACTTCTGCCAGCATATCTAATAAAGCAGCAGGACTATCATTTCCCATAATATCTGAAAGAAATGAGTAATTATAAGATGAAGAACCATTAATTATTAAAAGAAAATCAGTTGTATGACTGAAAAAACTATGCAAAAGAACAATACATACTAATTCATGTATATTTATACTTTTATTTTCTAAGAATCAACTTTGGTGGAACATTACACAAAAATATTTCATCATTACATTTTTTTATACAAATTAAGATAAAACATATTATTTCCACTAGTTTATTAACATTTTTCTACCAGGAAGAGCTTATTGATAAGGAGCCTGGTAATTTTCCTTTAAATGTGGATTAGAAAAGAAATTGTTGTTACACTATGTTTGGGTTGCCTTGTTGGTTCAAGATTTCAATTTACTATAGGGATTTACAAAATTTTATTAATAAGATTCTAAGTATTAATCATCAGTTTTAAAAAAGTTATTTAATAAACCGCTGTAGATAAAATGTTAATAAGTACAAATTATGCATTTCGATATCTTTTGTTATGTCAAGTGCTAATGGTCTTGTAACAATAATAAATATGTTGATCTTTCCTGAAATCATGACACATGACAGTCAGTCCATGAAACATCAAGATTTCTTAAGTTTACAGATACGATAAAGAAATTAAGAAATTTTTAATGCATAATCAACATATAATATGTCAATGAAAATAATAATGCTTTCATTTATTGCCCGCAGAAAATAAAATTCTTATTTTCCAAGCGTCATTCTAGCAGACGCCATAAGGACGCCCAGCAGACGGCTTTTCGATTTGTCTTTACAAACATCTTCAAAAATACATATATTTGTTTGCTAATATTAACTTGTTAGAACGATGGAAATTTCTGTTATTTAGAACGAATAAAGAAATACCTCCATTGTACGAATTAGAAGTATATTCATGGTTTGTTTTGGGGTTCATTATGGCATTCGTATTCGCGGCGTGTCTTCATTCCACTGCCTTCTGTGCACAACAGGTTCCTTCTTGTTACTTCCTTGTTTGTTCTTCTTTCTTGTCAATTCGGAGATCAGTACTGCCAATCTGTGAAACGAAGATTTGGTATACACTATTTGAAAATAACGTACAATTCTATTTGTTATATTTGCCAGTTTTTGATTCAAAACGTTTTATTGTTGCACGTTCTGTTTTCATAAATTATGTGGCGAATAATGTTCCTACCGTAACTTTGGTAATTGAATAATTGCAATATCTACATTTAGGCGCGAAATTTGAAATTCATCAGTCCTCAACACTATATAGTTTTCAGGATATAATTATTTCTTTGTAATGTAGAAAATGATTTTGGAAAAGGGATGATTAACGATTTTTTCATAAAATAGATATAAATAATCTAAAACATATGTACTACTTGATTTACAGTAAATATTCTAAATTATTTAAATAAAGATAAAAGGTATAAAAAATCTTTTGTTGTTTCTTCAATATTTTATTACATTAAATTAGAAGTTTGTAACTTCTTGAATATGTGACATTAATAACACTACAAAAAGAATACAATACATACTAAGTATTTATTCAATTTATCTCTTCATTATGCCTTTACAGAATCTGTTAGTTTGTTGGTTCATTTTTATGTTAGTGTAATTTATTATAACTACCCGCAGGTTCAGTTTGTAACCCATCAGCGTTAAAAATGTTTTTAATAATATCTTCCTTCTTTTTCATATGAGTGGGCAAACCACGAAATAAATTTTCAGTTATTTGCTTCCTATTTTTTTTTACATTATCTTTCTCGTAGTCTTGATTTAAATATTCAATATTCTCATTATCATCGATAGCCTTCATTGTTGCTAACAACTTTTCTTTATTATAACTAATTGTTTTCATTCTGGCACAGTTTTCATTAATAGTATTAATATCACTTTTACTAGTTACATTATATGTTAAATCAGAGTCTAAAGATTGTACATTACTTAATGAAATATCAACACTTTTCAATACATTATTTACTTCTTGCTTATTTAATTTGTTTCTTGTCTCTACATTGTAACTGTCTGTATCCTTTTCATATGTTACATTCGATGTTTGTTCTTTGTCCAAAGTAATTGTTGCATTGAATGAATTCGTTGCTGGAAGTCTGTTCTGTGAGTTATTGGAAAGAATATCACAGGCATCTGACACTGGGTTTGACTTAAATGATGTTTCGGGTTCGTTATAATCTCTTACAGAAATCATTTCCAATAATAATTTATCTTGAAATTCATTTTTTCTTGTACACGCATCATCAGTATTTCCTTCTCCTCGTTTTTCTTCTTTAGATATAGATTGATTCACAATATATTTCTGTAAATCTTCAGAAGGTTTATTTATTGAATAATTAGCGACTACTTGTTCTTTATTTATATGCACATCATGCTGCAAGTCATAGAAATCTTCATTCTCCACATTTTTAGTTTGTGTTCCCATTTCATTAATCAAATTTTCATACATTTTTTGAGATTCATTCAAAAAATGAGAAATTGTCAATTTTTCTACTTCTTGATCGACAGTACAATGGTTCTGATCGTCATGTACAGATGAAATCAATTTGAGAACGTCATTGGAATGGTTTGATGAAAAATAATGTTGAATCGATTCTTTTCGTACTTCAGATTCTGCTTCAGAATCACTTTTGTTAGAATCTTTATTATCCTGCGCTAAATCGTTCAATTTATTTTCAAATTTAGAAGTAGACAATTTAAATTCGTCTGAGCCTATAGCTTCATTTGCGCTGTTAAGAAACCTATAATTAAAATGCAATATATTATGATTAAAAAAGAACAACTTTTGTAAATCAAAAAGAAATGACAACTTTAACTTTTGCAAACCTTATGCGTGATTCTCTAGATCTGCTGACGACATCGATTTGATTGTCATGCAAATTTTCATTTTCACCTTCACTTTCATCATCTTCAGATGAATAAACAGTTTCTTTCTTTATCAGTTCATTGAAACTTTGACACTTTCGATTTTCATATATTTTCCTAAATTTGTGTGCACTTATTTTATAGGGATTTTTATCATTTTCATCATGTTCCTCTAATCTTTCTGGATAATTATTTACTTTATCTGCTTTAACATCTAATTCTTGGAGTTCTTCTTCGAAATCGCCTGATAGAATTTTTCTGTGTGCAGATTTTTGGAGACGATATTTTCTTACTTGTTCTAAATTAGTCATTGTTTCTGTTTTCAGATACTTTGAATTTTTATTCAAGTTAATCCTTTCGTCAACTTTGATATTTTTATCATTTAATTCAAATGTATCTAGAGCAGGCTAAAAATTAATAATAACGAATTATCTTTAAGATATTTTAATCGTTCAGAAGGTTTGATTAATTGTTACCAAACTATGTTCTTGCACATCGCTTTTCCATTTTCCATTTTGATCCGATAACTTCAGTGGATTCGATGAACTGAAACATAGAGAATATGTAAAAGAATTACATGCATAGAAAATTCGTTTAATTATAAACATTTTACATACCTGATATCTCTTAAATTTGTAAGAGATTGTGTACTTAAATGTCTAATTTTAGTAGGTAATAATAGTTGTCCGTTACGGTATAATCTGCGTTCTCTGTTATCTAATAAATGTTCTAAACTTTTCAGCTTTTCTTTCGTTTCTTCTAATTCTTTTTGTGTTTCCTTTCTCTTGGAAATTTCTATATGTAATTGTTGTTTCAAGCTTTTACTTTCAAGAGATAATCTTCTGTGGAGTGTCTAAGAAAACATATATTAACATTGTATAGAAGATTTCATAAAGACTTTGAGCTTTTAAATTACCTGTATAGTGTCCTGTTGTTGTTCTATCCTATAATTTAAATCAGAAATTTGGGATTGTAATTTTTCTCTCTCACCCAGATTACGATCTTTACTGAGTTGTAATAAATGTTTATTTTGAGACTATAAAAATATGAAAACATTGAATTCGGCATTAGTTTATATGTACAAGCATTCTATACACTCAGTACATACCTGTAACTGTTGGAGTTCATTTTCTTTTTCTTTCATTAAACTACATGTCTCTTTGTGCAAGGCTTTCAACTTTTTATATTTAATGTGAAATATTCGCAATTCCTCGTGATGTGAATTAATAATTCGTGGCAGTTCTGCATTTGTTCCTTCATAACGTTTCAATGCAGAATCCTGTCGTTTCTGTAATGATTTCAATAGTCTGTTTTCATTAGCCAACTCCTGTAGAGAAAGATATAATTATATTCAGTATGCCTACAATTAATGTATATTTTAAGTGGATAAAGGGACTATTAGCACATTTATATCTTACTTAGAAAATATAGAAATTATAATAATTACATTTAATTGATAATGTGCATCAGCTAATTGATTTTGTAATTCTTTAACACGTAACATTTTTGCTGATTGAACCCTTTGCTTAATACCGTTTTTATTAAGATTCAAATGTTCTGATGAAGCCTTCTGTCGAACGCTATTTTGATATGGCTGCCCTGTAAATAACATAAAGATTAATTACTGCATTACTAATAATCACTTAATCATATTTTATTCTGCAATCTCATCTCTTTTGAAGTTATGATACAAACCAATTAGAGGATGCAAGTTCTTCTTGTTGAAGGAAAAGCATGTTATATTTTTGTGTGACAAACTAGGTTTTGCTTCCTCCGTCAACTTTTTTAAATTAGAATTTTGAGTTCTGTAAATTTACAATACATAAAAATATTAAAATAGAAAAAGTATACAGTTTTGAAATCAAGAAAAATGACAAATTTTTTATAGTATTGAGAACATAATGTTTACGAATTACTGTTATAGTGTTCTTAAATACTTTTATAATAGTATTAAGAATGTACAAAGTGGTGATACATTCTGATGAAAAAAATATATTGTTGTTCAACACAATTCTGATTACCTATTGAAGTTTGTGTTGACATTTAACTGTACTACAGGTAATGTAGGTACTTCAGTTTGCATTTTATGTTTATGTATACTGCATCACAACTAGCATTTCAGACTTGCATAATATTTTTTTTACAAGAACAAATTATTATAGTATTGTCAAATACTTATTGAAGACCAATGAGCTTCCATGACTGTTTTCATGTGGTTACCAAGGTAGCATCTACACAAACAGTTCGTCAATCAATGCCTTTTAAAATTATATATTTATTATAAACTCTTCGATCTATTTTATTTTGATAAGTGTAATATAAGATAAGTGGTAACTAAAAACGTTTACAATAGCGTTCTAAGTTTACCTTGTATGTTATGTAGAAAACATTTAGGATACATGTATATAATAAGAAAAAAGATATAATGCTTAGTTACTCTTTTATTTCAGTTTCCTTCAGCTATAACACAAGAATTATGTGAACTCGTTATTCTTAAAATATTAATTATAATATCGAAAAATAAATTAGTGAAAAGTATTTCTCATATTTGCTCTACAAATATTGATTTCACATGATTCATATTTATATTTATTTACATATAAATAAACATGTGCACTGCACACGCGCATTATTATATACAATCTTTTAATAATATAAATCTGAAACAGCTCTAAATACATACATTTTGAATCACTTGTTAACTGTTAACAACTGTATTTGTAGTACAGGAATAAACAGCTATTTATCACTTTTATACTGAAATGAGGAAAGATTTAACCATCTGGTTAATTTATATATATTTTATAATAACTCTCGCATTTAACTGGGTTTCCTATCATTACGTTATATATTCACAAACATTACAGTAAGTTATTCTTTTAGAAATCACATTCACAGTCATTTGAATATATTTAAAATGTATAGATTTGTCCAAAGTAATGGTTTTCAATTTAACACTGTATGTACACAGACTGTTACCTGTATATTACACAATCTTTAGACTCAAGCTCCCTGAGCTTTATTATTATCTTTCCCTTGATGATCCTTGAGCATTCCTATATGTTGAGTATCCCATAATTTACTGTAAAAGGAATTCGGCATAGCTAACAATGATTGGTGTGTTCCTCTCTCGATCAATTTACAATGATTTAATACGAAAATTTCATCTGAGTCCATCACAGTAGATAAACGATGTGCTATGACAATGGATGTTCGTCCGATAGTTGCCCGGCGTAATGCTTCAAGAATATTCTGCAAATGTACAAAGACGAAAAATTTCATTATAAAAAGGAAAAACGCTTAAAATATTATAGAATATAAACTCACATGTTCTGTAATAGAATCTAAAGACGATGTGGCTTCGTCAAAAATTAATATTGGACTATTTTTTAAAATTGCTCTAGCAATCGCTACACGTTGCTTTTCACCTCCACTCAGTTTCAAGCCTCGTTCACCAACTGGTGTATCATATCCCCTTGGCCATTGAAGAATGTTGTCGTGTAAGTTTGCCATTTTGGCAGCCTTGAAAACTTCTTCTTTAGATTTATTTAAATTTCCATAATGAATATTATAGAAGATACTTTCATGGAAGAGGACAGTGTCCTAAAATTATAGTTTCGAAATCATTCTTACGAATTTACGTTACCAAATCTTACACACATGTCAATGTAGTTACCTGTGGTACTATTGCTATTGACCTTCTCAAAGCGTCTAACTCCAAATCTTGAATATTGTGTCCATTGATATAAACACTTCCAGAATTTGGCTCAAAGAACCTATATAATAATCTTACTATTGTTGTCTTGCTAAAAGTATGCATTATTAATTAATATGCGACTCTTTTGTTCGAACAATACATATTTATAATAAAAGTTTACCCGCTCCCGGATCCTCCAACAATAGCAATTTTCCTTCCACTTGGAATTGTGAAGTTGATATCATTAAAAATTGGCTTGCCCTCGCAATACTGAAAGCTAACATTTTTGAATTCAATGTCTGAATTCATCGGAGTTATATTGAATTGCGTCGCATTCTCTTTGGACTGTTATATAAAATTATGAAACATATTAATAGAGCAACGTAACTTTTGTACCTCTGATATGAAGTGTAAGTACCTTAATAGCTGTGTCCATTGTCATCAAAGTAAACATAGTTTGCATGTCAATAAGGGCTTGTCTAACTTCACGGTACACTGAACCCAAGAATCCTAATGGGACTGACAATTGGAATAAAAGAGCGTTAACCAATACTAAATCTCCAACTGTCATAGTACCTAAATTCATTTAAAACAAAAATACAGTTCGTGTTTCTTATATTTCATAAAAATTTTCTATATAATAAATAGTATTTTACCATTTATAATATTCTTAGATGCTAATACCATTATTAAACTTAAAGCAGCACTAAATATAGCATTTTGTCCAAAGTTTAACATTGCTAAACTTGTACTGGTTTTAAGAGATGCAGCTTCATACTTTTTCAATGATACATCATACCTTTCTGCTTCGAATTTTTCGTTGTTAAAGTACTAACATGGAAAATTGCAATTGTTAGTCATCCATCGGATAAAACTACCCGTAACGTATCCATTTTCCACATACCTTCACTGTTTCGTAATTAATAAGTGAATCTATTGCTTTGTTGCTTGCTTCGTTTTCTGCTTGATTCATAAAAATTCTGAATTTAGTTCGCCACTGTGTAACAGCCAAAGTGAATACAGCATAAATGCCAACACAACCTAATGCAACAGCTGCATATTCTCCACCACATTTTAAATATAGTATTGTACTGACCAGTCCTAACTCAAAAACAGTGGGTACAACATTAAACACCATAGCACTTAATACAAAATTTATGCCACGGCTTCCCCTGTCAATTGTCTAAAAAATATTTGAAATACATAAATAATTTTTATATTGTAATAAATGAAAGTTACAAAAATAAAACACATTTATGTTACCTTTGATAATGCTCCTGTTTGCCTGGACAGATGAAAAGCCATATCTAAATTGTGTAAATGTAGGAATACATTGTTAGCTATTCTTCTAATAGAATGCTGTGCAACTTTTGCAAAGACTGCATTCCGCAGTTCGCTAAAACCAGCTGCACCTGCCCGTGCTATACCATCTGTTTTATGAATACAAATAATTTTCTGTCGATGACTGTTATACGCATAATAATATTCCTAATGTAATCTAAAATACATACATCCTATGAGTAATGATGTTGCTATTGTTGTCACTGTTTCTGGTGCAGTTTCTAGACCTAGAACAGCATTGCCACCAGCTGCAATACTTTGAGCATTAAGTGTATCTACTGCATATTTAAAAATAAATGGAACACCAACGTTTAAAACTTTTGCACCAGCAAGTAAAGCAATAGCTACTTTGACTCTATTTCTTATTTCTGGATCATCCTGAAATTAGATATGCAATAAATGTCTTATTATTCTGGTATAAGTTATGTGCTTTGTACAACTTACCTTTGGCCAAATATATCTAAGCATTGCTTTAATCATGTTTGAAGCTGTAACTGGTTCCTTGTCTTTAAAATCGATAGTTTCACGACTTACACTGGATACACCGGGATGAAAACAGTCTCTTTTTTGTTGGCCAGATTTCCCTCCAGTGAATCCAGAAATTATTAATGGTAACTTAATTCGTGGTACAATGGTTTTTGATTGAAATATACTCTTTTTCTTTTGCGCCCGATCAATTACATTACCACTGCAGCACTGTAAAAACATTTGTTAATTTTAAGTAGCTGTTTATAAGATTTTAGAATAAACATTTTATCAAACTATTAAATATAAAAAGAAAATTATTTTGTCTTCATTTATATTCTTTTATAGGGGGTAACGTGTATATTTCATTGCAATATTTCTATTAGAATATTTTCCATGGAAGATTAAAGAAGCAATAATCAGAAATTAAAATTATTTATTAAAACAATACAAACTAAATATTACATATTTTTTATATACATTTTAACATTAACATATTAATCATATACACATTTAATTGCAGTGATTAATAGAGCTGCGGATATTAGTATTTGACTCATTTAATATTGTTACATATTCTTTTACAAGACTAATTGCAATGGAGAAAGATTGTGTATAATGCTGAAAATTTGTCATTCTTTCCAAATGATTCATATATTCATGTCTTTTTAGATCCAAAACCTTTTTACCTATCCCATAAATTTGAAATACTTCCTCTGAATTAAAAGAATCACCATATAGTTTTGCACTCCAATGTTCCTTTTGTAATTTTGTATTTAACACAAATAATGTTGAAATGGCATTGTAATTTAAACCTTTCCTTATAAATGCCATGTTTTTTTGTAAATTATTAGCCACAATGAAGTTTAATTTATGTTTTGAAATACAGAAACAAGTTTCTATATCAGAAATATCAAAATAAACTTCATCTAATACATTGTTTGGTACAAAAAAGCCGTAATGAACATATAACTTAAGACTGTTATGTGCTCCATAATTAATAAAAACTTGTGACCCTTTATCAAATGATTTTAATGTTGTGATTTCATAAAATTTATTCTTCTTTTTATATGTAATTAAAGATGCTTGTACAGCAGTCTCAATGTCATGATTAAATAAATCTAAAAAGGGTGCTAGAGTCAAATTATTTGGTTGTTTTACATTTATATTAGTATCAGGATTTATTTCAATTTGATCTGTATCGATGTATACAGCCCTTGTATTTACAATGTAATAAGCCCACTTATATCTTTCAAATGTTATTATTTTCTTTAAATGCATATCACAGTGGGAACAGTAACCTTTTTCATTTAAATTATTTATAGACCTAATTAATAACTGAAAGTCATTTTGAATTTTATGATGCTCATACATATATTCTGTAATATATGTTGGCAACAGTCTCTTTTCTTTGTTTGTACAAAAATCAGGATTTTGTAAAGTCTGAGGAAGACCATTCATGTAATTATACCATTTTGATAGATTTCCCAAATGTGATTCATATACTAGAAACACTGACAAAATATATTGGGCATTATATAATTCACTCTTCGCAAAAATAACATTAATATTGCTTTGAGATACTGTAGCTGTTGTGATTAGCATTTTATATGGTATTCTAATTAATAATTCATTTGGCTTAATGCTTTTTAATGTTTTCAATCCTCTACCAGTAATAGAAAAATTGTATGGAACTAAATCATAAACTGTTAAACAGTTATTTTTTAGTAACCAAGACTTTAGATGCATCAAACTTTCATCTCCTTTGTTTGCTAATTCATTGGCATTTAGCTTCTTCTTTCGGTGACGTATCCTTGAAGTTCTACCCATTATGTATATATCTGTAGAAGCAGTAAACAGATATCTTGAAATAAATAACTGTTTGATAGCTAATGTCAAATATTCATTGTTAGAACTAGATTGATTAAGGTACACTGATTACATGTTATATACATAAATTGTACAAGAATTTTATAAGAAAGAGAGCTAGTAACAGGTAGTAGTTAAATCACTATTACAAATCTACAATTAATGTTTATGAAATATAAGTCAGATGAATTACCCTAATTCCAAGAGCTGAAAACATTGGGTTAAATGTAGAAATGTGAAGGAAATCCCTTTTTGAACAAATTATTTGTCTCCGCGATTTAAGCGAGCATGTTGTAAATGATTTGGTCCAAAGTTTTCGTTTGATGTATCCATGTTGCAGGCGGCTGCATAAAATAATGCTTAACATTATATCAGAAATATTTATTCACAAATGAAGGTACAAAAATGAAATTCACAAATCAGGTTAGTGGATCATGGTACGGTCACAACTACCACGAAAATCAATGTGCTATCTGGCGCTATCATATATTAATATACATACAACTTGCAATATCTCAACAGTAGGCAACTTCAGAGTTGGCTTTCAAATAGTTAAAATCCTTTAAAATATACACCAGAAAAACTCCGACTGTGTTGTTACCAGTTGTTACTAGAACCATATAGTAGCACCGACTAGGTATAGGATAGACGTATCATCTTATGGGACTTGTGTTTCATGTTCTGAAATACCGATAGTGTAAAAAGTCAGCGATTTTCTGCTGCCCTCTACGTTATGGAACAGTGAATTTGTGAACTACGTTAAATCCATTCGAGCTCAACTAGTGTAACTTCTATGATGTGTCGGAAAATCATCGAAGGGATCATGGTCGTGAACGGATTCTCTTCCGTCCGTTCACTGTAAAGTAGACGTATTAGAAAGGAAACTTGGGTTCTAGTCCCGACGGACCTATTGTTTTTTTTTCGCGTACAAAAAAGTTATTGCGTTTAATATTGTTTTTATGAATATGTATATGTATATGTATTATTATGTACATTTGAGTAAATTATTTTATTATTCCATTGTTATTACAACAGTTTAACAGTGGCAACGAACGCATTTATATTTTCAAATGTCGGACTAATAGTATATTATTATTCTATATTATTACATATAAGTGAGTATATGTATCAAAAACGTAATCGAAACACAGAGTTTTATTACACCACAAACATCACATAAAAGATATTTCGTTATATTAACATTTGTAAAATTATGGATGTTGCGGGGAAATCAATATTATTGACATTATGGAACATATAACGAAATATCACTGTAACACTTAAAAAAGTTTCAAAGTTCCATTTATATCATTGTCCTGTGAAAATGCTCATACTTCCAGCAACATTCATATTCCAATCAAAGAATTTACAGAATAAGGAAAAGGAATCTAAAGTAATTTTCAGTAGTTCCATACATCTTTATCTCGAATAATTTTCTAAAACATTCAAAGTACTAGACATTTTTACACTTTGAATCTCATATCGATTTCTAAAATAATCCTAATTCGATGTAATATAGAACGTAGTTTCATGAGATATATTCGAAGTTCGCAGCCATTGGCTCGATATTGTCTTCAGTTTACAGTATTTTACCGATGACAATACCGATTGCCCAGGCCTCACCACGAGGAGGTTGC